CAGCCACTTACTCACCTGCAAGCCTGGGACTTGCAACTTCTTGCCAGCTTCCCCACTTTGACTTTGGCTGTGGGGAAGCTGGCATGAAGTCACCAAATCTAATGATCGACGGATTCAATTAACCATGGCAATCAAGAGGGCAGGGATTGCCACTGCTAAATGACACAGTTGCACTTAAATGAGGGAAATTCTGGTCTCGATGGCTGTCGTTAAGTCAAGGACTCCCTGCACCCATGTTCTGTTTGTATTTAACTGGTTTCTGGACTCAACGCCATTTGAATGTGATCACCGATGGATGCCACTCACCGGGACGGGGGAGGTATTCGCCGCCCCTCGTTCATACGCCGGTCTGACCCGTAGCTGCCCCAACCTTCTCTGGAGTGGCGATCTGGATCCCTGTGGCGTTCCTCTGCATAGTGCTGAAAGAGGGGAAGGAGATAAGAACAATTATCCAACTGGCATATGAAGGAATGTTAGGTAGGGGTGCAGGCAAAGATTTTTGAAGCTATGCAGCAGGTTTTTCCTAGTACAGGGGTCTCCAAACTTGGCCACTTTAAGACTTGTGGACTTCTATCATTGTTTCTTTTACTTGTTCCTCTTCCATCTTCCAATTTAGCAGAAATTTATAAAGTTTTTTTAATCAAGTTTTCATCCGTTTTTAAAAACATTTTATCAAGTGGTGTCTGATCTTTATAAAATCCCATTGATTTTACATCTTTTTCATATCTTGTTTGAATTTGTAAATAGGACCACCATGTTAAGTCAATATCTTGTTGTTGAAGAGTTTGCCTGTCTTTACGTTTTCCGTCTTTTCCAAAATGTCTTTATAGCTAACAAGTTTATCATAATTAATTAAGTTTGGGTATGCAAATGCTTCCATTGTTGAAAGCCACTCGGGTATTTTCATATATATTTTATGTTTAATTCTCTCCCACTCTGAGAGCAGTAAGTACATTCATTATGGCATGATTTTGAAAATATTTATGTGCTTTGCTTTTTCTCATACCAAATAAACGCATGCCAGCCTAGTTGGAGATCATGTCCCTCTAAGTAGAGAAGTCGTTTATTTCTCAGTGTAATCCATTCTTTGAGCCAAAGCAGAATGGTTGCTTGAGGAATTCTGGGAGTTGAAGTCCACAAGTCTTAAAGTGGCCAAGTTTGAAGACCCCTGCCCTAGTACAAGGGGAAGTCAAAGGTAGGGCAGAGACACAAAGGCTGCAGTAAGCATTTCAACGAGTTCTTGTTTTGTCTGGTGGCTCATCTGCCCGAAAAGAAACACCAGAAGCTCACAAGCATTGGGATTTTTAAAGGTCTGCTTTCAAGAGCTGCAAAGCACTGCCTTCTCAAAAGTGCTCCAGAGTGTGAAGAGATTCTGGAACCAGATACTTAGGTTGGTCCAGAAAATTTTGAAAATGTCTATAAAATCGAAACCTGAAGCTTCTGTTTTAGGAATGGCAGAGAACACAGAATTATAGGGCTGAAAGAGACCTCAGAGGTAATCTAAACCAACCCCCCTGCTCAAGGCAGGAGACCTTATTATACCATCCCAAAATAACAGTCGGAAGGGACCTTGGAGGTCTTCCAGTCCACCCCCCTGCTCAAGCAGAAAACGCGATTATTATTTCAGACAAATGGCTGTCCAATCTCTTCTTAAAAACCTCCAGTCTAGTCCTTCCCAAAAAATGGCAATTAAATGGGTGTCCTTTATTTCAAATAACATATATAATAATAGAGGGAGATCTATTTGGTGATCTAAAAGCACCGATATGGAAGCCTAGTTGGCAAAGGAAGAAAGCCAGAATAAGGCTGAAGAAAACTGGGGTTTTGATTTATTAGAGGGGATTTCATATTATTAATTAGAGGGCTAAAGGGAGAAGTTGAGATAAGGGGAAATCTGGTCATTATTTAAAATATTTGGAAATTAGTTGAAAATAAGGATTTTATCTGTTTAATATTTAAAAATTAGACCTAAAAGGAAAAATAATTAATTATTATGAATTTGTTTGATTTATTGATTAACCCGGGAAATATATATATATATAATGGTTTTGATTTATTAAAGGGGATATTGTATTATTAAGTAGATGATTTAATATGGTGGGAAATCGATAACTTTTAGGAAATAGAACAAGATTATATTCAAATAGATAAAATGTGTATTTTGGATATTAGATACTGTTATGAATTGAGATAAGGGAAATCTTGGTTACCGAAAGCCTGAAAATTATAAATATTAAAGGTTAAATTGGAATATTGATGGGAAACTAAAAATTGGGAAAAAATTAATAACAGGATATGGATTGTTTATGAAGATTGAATGTAAAAAATAATCAAGATAAGTATAAGTTAAAATTTATTGATAAATGTAATAATGATGTTTTTACTGAGTTGATATAATAAGAACTGTGTTAGCTTAAACTATTGGTTAACTCAGCCACCACGCTGCTTTTTAAATACTTAAATGTAAAATTGGAAAATTAATAAAATATCATAAAAAAAACCTCCAGTGTTGGAGGACCCACAACTTCTGGAGGCAAGTTGTTCCACTGATTGATTGTTCTCACTCTCAATCTTTCCTCCTTTCAAGTGCACAACGAACACAACTCACCTGCCTTTCTCGGTCTCCCATCATCCCCCGGGACCCTTCTCTCCTGGGAAAATAAAATACAGTCATATCAAATTTATGCCCTGGATTGATCCCCAATGTCATACATAATCTATGCCAGTGATGGCAAACCTTTTAGAGACCGAGTGCCAAAATTGCAACCCAAAACCCACTTATCGCCGGGTGCCAGATGGGCGTGGCCCACTGGGTGAGTGTGGTCACCTCGATGTTGCTCGTGGGGAGGGACGCCTGTGGGGGCCGGGTTGGGGGAAATTCAGGGGTCTCTGGCAGGAGGCCCGTCCTGTGGGGTGAGGTGAGGCAAGGTGGGGGTGCCATTATCGCAGGGCATGTCGAGGCAGAGCTGGGGCGGCTGCTGCCTGACACCATCGGCCCTCACACACAGACACCAGCGAGTGCATGGGGGCCAACAGTGTCCGTCAGCAGTCACAGCCTGCCCGCCCCTCGACTGGTGCACTCTGGGGCTCCGCAGCCCACCACCAGCAGTTCAGAGAAGCCGCTTCTGAGCTGGACAGCTGGCCGACAGCTGAGGAGACGATGCAGTGGGTTGTGCCCAGGAAAAGGAGAGCATGCGAGGCCAGGAGGGATGGGACGGGGGGGGGGGGAGGGATGCATCCGGCCACGTGGGACCTCGCTAAGTTAGTGGGTAGCTGGTTGAAGAGGGACGGTTGCCATCTCTGGGACATGGCGCGCGTGTCCACAGAGAGGGCTCTGAGTGCCGCCTCTGGCACGCATGTCATAGGTTCGCCACCACTGACCTATGCTATACTAATTGCTCAAGGCTGGCTCTCAAAGAACTTCTTCAGGTACTTCTTGACTTACAGAACCATTCCGTTTAGCGACTGTTCGAAGTTACGACGGCACTGAAAAAGGTGACTTATGACCGGTCCTTGCACTTAAGCATCTGTTGCAGTGTCCCCAAGGTCACATGATCAAAATTGGGGCGCTTGGCAACCAGCATGTGTTTACAAATGGTTGCAGCATCCTGGAGCCACGTGATTGACACTTGCAACTTTCTCACCTGGCTGCCGAAAAGCAAAGTCAATGGGGGAAGCCGTTATTTGCTTAACAGTTACAAAACTGGCTTAACAACTCCACTGATTCGTTTAACAACCGTGGCAAAAAGACTGCAAAACCAGGCATGACTCACTTAACAACCTCCTTGCTTAGCAGTGGAAATTCTGGTCCCAATTTTCAAATATTCAGAAGCAAGAGTTACGATGAGAAATATTTTTTCTAAAAATTATGCTGATTAAAGGGCCTAGCAGACACGGATATTAATATATAATATTCTCAGCTCAAAATATATAAATTAATATAATATTCCAACTCTCTGTAGGTCAAATATTCAGAACCTTTTTTTTCTCTCCAAGTCCTTAGAAACTGAGAAAAGAATTTCTTCCTCTCGATCGGGGCTCTCCAAACTTAGCAACTTTAAGACTTGTGGATTCGGAGGAAGCATAGTTGGAAGACCTCAGAGCAGTGGTTCTCAACCTTTTTAATGCCGTGACCCCAACCGGTCGTAAGTCGAGGACTAATGGCCAGCATTCAGCTCCTGATTTGGCCAGCATTCAGCTCCTGATTTGGCCAGCATTCAGCTCCTGATGGGTTGGCCAGCATTCAGCTCCTGAAAGGGACGGGCCCTCGCGGCGCGTACGCACCAAGGCGGGGGACACGGCCGGCTCCGCATCGACCGTTCGCCGTCTCTGCCTCGTCCGGCTGGTGGTCGACCGGGTGTCCAAGGGAGGTAAGGCACCCGCCGAAAAAGGGAAAAAAAAATGGCGGACAAAAAAAATGGCGGACAGCCTTGCTTGGCGACCCCCGTGAAATGGCCGATCGACCCCAAATGGGGTCCCGACCCACAGGTTGAGAACCACTGCCTCAGAGACTCTCGTACACATAGGCAGGTCACACGAGTAGGACAGAGGGAGGCGATGGGGCGATTTCAGAGGAGGAGGAGAAAGCAGTGAGAAGCCACGCCTTGGGGGCTGCATAACAAAAAGGGAATGTGTGGGCAGGGCTGGCTGCTGGAGGCAGTGTCAAGAGATTATGGTCTGTTTATTTTGCCTGTGAATTATTTCCTGTCTGACTCGTTTGGACAAAGCAAAACACTTGGAAAAGTGTTCGGTTGCTTTTGTTTTCTGGACAATTATTAGGTCTGTAACTCAAATAAAAAGGGTTTATTTTCCAGTCTACTGTTAAAACAGGGGTTGCCTTTGTGAAGTAACAAGGATGTACATAGGCTGGGACAGAACAGCCAGTTGCCAAGTGCCCTAAATGGGATCACATGATCGGGAGGGGGGGGGAAGCATCTGTGGCTGCCAGAATTTTGAAATTGGCATCATGTACCTTTTGCGGGGGTCAACAGTAACTTGGAATCGTCACAGAGTGAGGACTACCTGCGATCCATTTTTGGGCAAGTACACTTGGGAGTTGAATAAAGAACTTCCCCAACAGGAAAACGAAACGTTCCGTTCCCCGGCTTACCTGTCCAGAGGATGGCCCTGGTACCGCCCACGCTCCCTGTGATCGAAGTCATGGAACCGATCCTGGCGGCCGAAATCGGAACGGTGACGATCGTCCATTGCCATCCGCTTGGCTTCGGGCCAGTAGGGATCATCCCTCCTGCAAGCGAGAGGAGGTCAAGAGACCAGCCTTAAAAAATAAAAAAACCTTCCCCCCCCCCATCTCCTAAGTTGCTGGCGGATCCAATCTAAGGGGATGAAACCTGATTTGCAAAAAGGAGAAATATTTGTAGCTCGGGGTTGAAATGGAGGGTCCTTGGTGCTCTCTGAGCTGGGTGGTTTTCTTGCAGGTGCTTCACTACCCTAACTAGGGAACATCATCAGTGCTAGAAGGGAGGGGGCTTTGTGGAGAGGGGGAAGAGGAGGACTGTGGGGTCCTGGGTGCTGAGCTTGGTGGTTTTCTTGCAGACGTTTCACTACCCTAATTAGGGAACATCATCAGTGCTAGAAGGGAGGGGGCTTTGTGAAGAGGAGGAGGAGGACGACGACTATGGGGTCCTTAGTGCTCTCTGAGCTTGGTGGTTTTCTTGCAGGTGTTTCATTACTCAAACTAGGGAACATCATCCGTGCTAGAAGGGAAGGGGCTTTGTAGATAGGAGGAGGAGGAGGAGGAGGAGGAGGAGGAGGAGGAGGAGGAAGAAGACTGTGGGGTCCTGGGTACTCTCTGAGCTTGGTGGTTTTCTTGCAGGCGTTTCACTACCCTAACTAGGGAACATCATCAGTGCTAGAAGGGAGGGGGCTTTGTGGAGAGGAGGGGGGAAGAGGAGGAGGAGGAGGACTGTGGGGTCCTGGGTGCTGAGCTTGGTGGTTTTCTTGCAGACGTTTCATTACTCAAACTAGGTAATATCACTGGTGCTAGAAGGGAGTGAGGCTTGCAGAGTGGAGGAGGTGGAAGACTGTGGGGTCTTGAGTACTCTCTGAGCTTGGTGGTTTTCTTGCAGAGGTTTCACTACCCAATTAGAGAACATCATCAGGGCCAGGAAAGAGCAAACTCCACATTCCCTTCTAGCAATGACGACATTCCCTAATTGGGTCATGAAACGTCTGCAAGAAAACAACCAAGTTCAGAGAGCGCCAAGGACCCCACAGTCCTCCTCCAACTCCTTCCTTCCAGCACTGATGATGTTACCTAGTTGGGTCATGAAACGTCTGCAAGAAAACAACCAAGCTCAGAGGGCGCCGAGGACCTCTCAACTGGCCCACAGTTGCAAATGTGACCCTCACCTCCCATCCATGTCATACGGCCTCCGCAGGGCCACGCGCCTCTCCTGGTCGTAGCGCAGCTGCTCGTGCTGCCGCCGCAATTCCTCTCTCTCCCGCTGGATCCGTTCCTGCTCGCGTCTCCGCTCGTGCTCAATGTACATCCGCTCCCGCTCCAGGCGCTCCCGCTCCATCCGCTCCCGCTCCAGGCGCGCCCGTTCAAACTCCAGCTTCTCCCGGGTGATCTCCAACCTCTTCCGCTCCTCCTGCTCCCAGAGGGATTGCAGGCGTAAGCGCTGTCTTTCTCGACGATCGCCGGTGCTGTAAGGGAGAGAGAAAGGATGGCTGGCTCTGGTTGGCAGGCTGTCTCTGCCTTCGAACTCCTGCTGTCGGGCTTCCCGTGGAAGGAATGAGTGAGCAAGCCTGGTCCCCTTTGGGCCGGTTTGCTTAGATCAGGGGTAGGCGATCTTGGCTCGTTTATGACTCGTGGACTTCAACTCCTAGAATTCCTGAGCCAGCATGGCTCAACTTGGAAACCTCTCCCTTTCTCTTCAGCATGGCTGGCTCAGGAATTCTGGGAGTTGAAGTCCACGAGTCATAAAAGAGCCAAGGTTGCCTACTTCTGGCTTAGATGCTGAACTGGCTGGGTGGCATAATGGTGAAGGTGCTGGATTAGATATCAGGAGGAAGTCAGTTCTGGTCCCGTTTTAGGCATGAAAGCCAGCTGGGTGATGCTGGGCCAATCACCAGGAGAGAATGAGTTCTAGTCCAACTGTAGGCAGCAAAACTGGCTGGTTGACGCTGGCTCAATCACCAGGAGACTGGGAGTGCTGGTCCCGCCTCAGGCATGAAAGCCAGCTGGGTGACATTGGGCCAATCACCAGGAAAGGTGAGTTCTAGTCTGTCTTAGGCATGAAAGCCGGCTGAGTGACTTTGTGCTAGCCACTCTCTCTCTGCCCAGTCCCCTTCACAGGATGGTTGTTGTGGGGAAAATAGGGGAAAGGAGTATTATATATGTTCACCACCTTGAGTTACCTGTAAGTAAAATCTAAAAATAAACGAAACACAGCAGAGCAGAGGTCGCGGGTTCTGTACCTCCTCGATTAGTTATTCACATTGCAATTGTTTGTATTAATTTTTTGCTTCAGTAGAACAAAAGGTAGATCTTTTAATATTAGACGGACACATCAAAAGATCAGCCCTCACTAAATTGGGGGTTCTCCCACTGTGCTCGGCTACAGGTAGTCCTCGACTTACGACTGTAACTGAGCCTGCAATTTTAGCCCTAAGTTAATATGGTTAAGCAAGTCACCACACGTCGGCGCCCAATTTTACAGCCTTTGTGCCACGGTTGCTAAGCGAACCTGGTGGTTGCGAAGCGGACACTGCAGTTGTTAAGGGAACCAACTGTTTGCTATGGAGTGTTTTCGCCAGAAACCGGAAGCGAGCGCCTGTTTTTGGCAAAAAAAAAAAAAAAAAAAAGTCACAAACAATGATCACGTGATTGCCAAGCACAGGAGTATAAATGCAGGTCAGTTGCAGCTCACCAAAATGACGTCATGTGACCGATGGAGAGGGAACTGGGCCTCTGGAATTCCAAAGATGATTTGGGGGATTGTCGTAACTTTGAGTGGTCATCAAGCTGGTTGTAAGGAGGACTACATGTACTATGGCAGTGATGGCAAACCTTTTAGAGACCGAGTGCCCAAAACTGGCCCCACCCCTGCTCCACCTCCACCCCACCTGCCCGCAGGGCCACTCACCGCCTCCAGGGCCCACCGCAGATCGCCCAGGCAGCCCAGCAGCGCCATGGTGGCCACACCCTCTGCCCGCGCCGCACAGCATCAACTGTGCGGGATGGGGCATGAGGGCAGAGTCTTGTCTACGCTGCCTGGCTGCCATGTCCTTGGCTGCGCTGCTCCACGTGGGCCACGCTCGGGGGCGACTCTCCTCCAGGGGGGTTGCTGGTGAGGAGGGGGTCGCGGGGGGAGGCAAGGCCGGGGCAACGACACGTGTGCCCACAGAGAGGGCTCCGAGTGCCACCTCTGGCACCTGTGCCATAGGTTCGCCACCACTGTACTGTGGTCATTCCCTATCAGCACAATGGCTAGATATGATGGGAACCCAACGTGTTTTTTCAAGAGGCAACTGGACTTTGTCTTTCCTGGAAGCCATTTTGCTTCTCACCAAGAACCTTCTTCACTTCTGACCAAATGGCGGAGGAGGGAAGGCTTTATAGTTATGTTCCCTGTGGTCCTTAAATCCTCCCATTCCCCACCATTCAGTCAGAGCCGAAGAAGCGTCTTGGATGAGAAGCGAAATGACTTCAAAGAAAAACAAAGGAAGCCCAATTGCCTTTTTGAAAAAGCACCTTGGGGACAACCAGGACCTGGATGACCGAGAATCTCCACAGACATTTATGATAGGAACTGCAAACCCAAAATGGAGAAGGTTGTTAAGTAAACGTGACACAAGTTAAAAAAAAAGAAAAAGAGGCAAAGAATCTGAACGCAAGCACAGATTTGAGCCTCTTCCATGGCCTGTGGGTCTCACCGGTGCTGTTCTTCGTTCGGTCGCCTTTCTCTGCCTTTGTTGAACGGCACGTCGCCTTGTCGCTCTCGGCTCTTTTCTCGGCTCTCCGACTTGCGTTCCTGGCTCTTCTCGCTCTGCATTTCAAGACACAGCACAAGGTTGCAACGTCTAATTCATTTGGAAAGGGGATGAAGATCAAGGAAATGGCTATTTCGATCTTGGCTCCAGAAGCCAGGCCTGCCTCTCTGCCGCGAGGTTCCAAAAGAACAACTGCTAGACCAGCGGTAGGCAACCTCGGCTCTTTTATGACTCATGGACTTCAACTCCCAGAATTCCTATGCTGACTCAGGAATTCTGGGAGTTGAAGTCCATGAGTCATGAAAGAGCCGAGGTTGCCTACCCCTGTGCTAGACAAACTAGCCCAACTTTGTCTGTAACAGGCTTCAGAAGGGGAAACTTGGCTAGGGAATTCCCCGATTTCAAACCGTCTTTGAAAGGCAGGGTTTCAGCCTCTCTGTCTTCCTTTCTCCCGATTTCAAAGCAGCTCCTAAGTTATTTTATGAAGGCTACTAAGTTATTTTACGTCCTGGTATTTTTGGAAGATGAAAGATGATCTTTCTTTTAAAGTACGCTGATCTAAATTTAACGTTATCCTTAAAACATTATACTTCATCAAGAATATCAAAGCCTACAAAATACCAAGCCTACAAAAATAATAAAATTGGAAGGGACCTTGGAGGTCATCTAGTCCAATCCCCTGCTCAGGCAGGAAACCCTATACTATTTCAGACAAATGGCTGTCCAGTCTCTTCTTTAAAACTTCCAGTGTTGGAACATTCACCACTTCTGGAGGCAGGTTGTTCCACTGGTTAATTGTTCTAACTGTCAGGAAGTTTCTCCTTAGTTCTAGGTTGCTTCTCTCCTTGATTAGTTTCTACCTGTAGCTTCTTGTCCTGCCTTCAGGCGCTTTGGAAAGTAGGGTGACCCCCTCTTCTTTGTGGCAGCCCCTCAAATATTGGAAAACTGCTATCATGTCACCCCTCGTCCTTCTTTTCACTAGAATAGCCATACCCAATTCCTGCATATGTTTTCAATCTTTGATAGTCTGGATTATGCAAAAATATATATTATAAAATCTTTTGGTTTGCTGGGCGTAAAGATGTTGAGCCCATCTTAAGACTTAAGATGATGATGATTATTACTTAACAGTTAGAATCAACTTCAATAAAGAATCTTAAAAAGGTTTCACATTGATTTTCCCATTTGCAATATAGAGGGTGAAAGGATGTTTATTGCTTAGTTTCAAGTTTCCAAAACACGAAGATAAAAAGACACAATTTCCCACAACAGAAGAATGGATGGCAAAGATGATGGAGCTGAAGGAGATGGCAAAATCGACCATTTGAATTAAAGCGAAAAGAATATATGTAGTTTTTGTTTCCATTTGGAAACCACTTCTGGATTTTGTACTTGAAACTAGAAAAAAAATGAAACTCTAATTTTAGCCTTTTAGGATTAGAATGATTTTATTGCTATAAGGCTTGAAGTATTTAGAAAAGTAAAGTAAAAGGTTGAGGCTGTAATTGTTTTTTTTATTCTACTGCACTGAAAAAAGTTGGAAGTCGCTGCTATTTTTCATTCTTTTTCATCTCCTTTTACATCGTTCTCTCCTTTTAACTTTTGTATTTTTGCTTACAACAACCTTTAATGAAACTTTTCTGAACAAGGAAAAAAAGCTTCCAAAGCCTAAAAAGGTGTCAAAGTAGTTCATCGCATTTCAGTTATCCAATTATTTTTATTTGATTTGTTAATGTTTTTCTAACAACGGCCAACGCGTGCCTTCAAAATGAAGATTAAGGGGGGGGAAGTCTTGATGTTTCAGTAATTGTGTGTAGCAAATGAAGGTGAAACAATATCGAACTTCTCAAGGATAAAACAGTAAAACTGGCCTGTCTCCTTCCCTTGCTTTAACAAAATCCAGCAAACAACAATTGTGACAAGGAAAGTTTAACGTTCTACTTACTCTTTCTTTTGATCGTGATGTGGTCTTCACGCTAATAACTGGCTCACCCTTGGACTTATCCATTATCACGGTTCTTTCCGTCCCTTTGCCCCCTATGTAAAAGCAAAAAAATTGCATGACAATCCAATTGTTGGCAGAAGCCAGCAACGAATGGCTTAGGGCAGTCGTGGCGAACCTATGGCACGGTTGCCAGAGGCGGCACTCAGAGCCCTCTCTGGGGGCAGGCGCACCATCACCCCAGTCCTAGGCCTTCAGCTGGGTTTTATAAAATCTTTTCGCTTTAGGCCGCTGCCGCCGTCGCCACCGCGTGCAAAAAAAAAAGGTTCAATCAGTCAATTTCAACTTCTCGCGGGAAAAAAAAGATCTTGCAAAGTTGGAATTGATTGATTGAACTTTTTAGTCCCACCCAGTCTGCCGTTACCACCGCAGCCACGCCCACCCAATGGGCCACACCCAGCCAATGGGCCACACCCACCCAATGGGCCACGCCCACCCAATGGGCCACACCCACCCGGCGATGCATAAGTGGGTTTTGGGTTGCAGTTTGGGCACTCGGTCTCTAAAAGGTCTGCCATGACTGGCTTAGGGCAATGTTTCTCAACCTTGGAAACTTTAAGATGGGGTGGACTTCAACCAGGATTCCCCAGCCAGCCCAGAATTTTGGGTGTTGAAGTCCACCCATCTTAAAGTCGCCAAGGTTGAGAAACATCAACTTAGGGTTGTTTCCCCCCCCCCCCAGCAATAAATTACCTGATTTGGGAGTCTTAGATTGATCGGCAGATCCAGCTTTCTGTTCTTCTTTCCCCTTTTCGTCCTTTTCATCCGCTTTGCTACTATCTTCTTTTGAATCAGCCTTTTCATTCTTTTTCGCACTGGCACTCCTGAAAAACAGTTTAAGAACGTTTAAGAGCAGACCTGGGCATTTAATTTAATTTATTTTCATTTATATTCCACCTTTATTATTATTTTTTATAAATAACTCAGAGCGGCTAATACAACTAACAAGAAATTAAAAGACGCTTGCTCCTGGGGAGGAAAGCTATGGTAAATCTAGACAGCATACTAAAAAGCAGAGACATCACCCTGCCAACAAAAGTGCGTATAGTCAAGGCCATGGTTTCCCCAGTTGCAATGTACGGCTGTGAAAGTTGGACCATAAGAAAGGCTGAGCGCCAAAGAATGGAGGCCTTTGAACTCTGGTGCTGGAGAAGACTCCTGTGAGTCCCCTGGACTGCAAGGCCATCAAACCGGTCAGTCCTAGAAGAGATCAACCCCGACTGCTCTTTAGAAGGCCAGATCCTGAAGTTGAAACTCAAGTACTTTGGCCACCTAATGAGAAGGAAGGACTCCCTGGAGAAGAGCCTGATGCTGGGAAAGACGGAGGGCAAGAGAAGAAGGGGACGACAGAGAAGGAGGTGGCTGGATGGAGTCCCTGAAGCAGGAGGCGTGAGCTTAAATGGACTCCAGAAGATGGTGGAGGACAGGAAGGCCTGGAGGAACGTCGTCCATGGGGTCGCGATGGGTCGGACACGACTTCGCAACTAACAACAACAATACAACTAATACTCTGCAACCGTTCCTCATATGTTTCAGCCTCCAGCCCTCTAATCATCTTTGTTTCTTTTCTCTGCACTCTCAACCTATTTTTGTATCATGGTGACCAAAACTGGATGCAGTAGTCCAACTGTGGTTTTACCAAGTCCGTTGACTCTTATCTGATGCCGATTTGCCTTGACCATTAGTAGATCAGATTCTTGTGACTAGATAGCATGAAAGAAATACTTTTGAACTCTAAGCTGGCACCTGATTTCCTGCGCTTGACAGTGATTTCTGAAGACAGCGGGGGAGAGGAGTAAACTGCCTACATTACTATGAGCACATCTAATAAGGTAAGAAAAAAAAAAAAAAAGCAAGTTGCAGAACTTACTTATCGGCAGATGACGTTTCGGTCTTCCCCTCGCTGTCCTTTTTATCCAGAAGCTTCCTTGTGGCAGGTTCATTCTTTGCCTGAGAGTATATTGGATCGTCAGAAAAAAGAAGCCACGGATTATTTTCCCACCTGTTTGGGGCCTTGAGGAAGGAGGGAGGCCCCACTTACTCTTTCGACCGAGATTATTTTGCCGTGCAGCTCCGTCTTGTGGCAATGAGCAATGCATTTGGTAGTTTCTTCCGCTGTGGACATTGTCACAAAACCGTAACAGCGAGCACCGGGGCTGCGAGCGTTGGTCACTACTTTGGCACCAACCACCTGGAGGAGAGAAAGCACACACGGTCTTGGGGACTGCTGGCTGAAGATCCATCTCGCCCAGCAGCCTTCTAAAGACCAACCACTGGCCCAGTTGTCGTGTCTGGCGACACACAAGATCTCCCGACTCTCTGGAAGTTGTGTGAGAAGGCCCTGCTCTCGCGCAGCCTTTGAAGCATCTGAAAATCGCGCAACGTTGTCACGTGATTTCCTGAGGCTTCAGAGGCCACTCTTGCACGACGACTTTGGGAGGACCTGGAAAGTCCAGAGAGGAGGGAGGCCCAGAGTGAGGCTGAAGCGTGTGAGACGCCAGCAGAGCCAAGGTGGGCATTTTCTGATTTTTTGACAACCGAGTCCAAAAGGTTCACAATCACTGAACTAGCCTTACCGCTTAAAGGGAACAGAGACGACAGCTTCACATTGTTTACCCCCACCTAAATTTTTAAACACAATGTACATATACTCTTTGACTTACGACTGATTTAAAAAGCTTGGGAGGGGGGGGAGTGTGGTGTTGTGACAGAATGGAGAGCCGTGGTGGCACAGTGGTTAAATGCAGCATTGCAGGCAAATTCTGCCCACGGCCTGGAGTTTGCTCCTAAGAGGGCTCAAGGTTGATTCAAACTTCCATCCTTCTGAAGTTGGTAAAAATGAGGACCCAGATTGTTGGGGACAATATGGAACTGTTTCTACATTGTAAACCGCCCAGAGAATGCTGTAAAGTATATAAGACTAAATGCTATTGCTTGTATCCTGATTAGAGGACGTGGAGGATTAGCTGAACGAGAGCTACACCAAAGCCCTCATGTTAGAAGGGAGAGAATAGATTAGAATAGAAATTAGAATGAAAGAATAAAAGAAAGGAAAGGAATGGAATAGAATAGAGCAGAACAGTGGTGGCGAACCTATGGCACGGGTGCCAGAGGCGGCACTCAGAGCCCTCTCTCTGGGCACGCGCGTCGTCGCCCTAGTCCTAGGCCTTCAGCTGGGTTTTATAAAACCTTTTCGCTTTAGGCCTCTGCCGCCGTGTGCAAAAAAAAGAAGGTTCAATCAATCAGTCAATTTCAACTTCTCGTGGGGAAAAAAAAAATCTCGCAAAGTTGAAATTGATTGAACTTTTTAGTCCCACCCAGTCTGCTATTACCATCGCAGCCACGCCCACCCAATGGGCCACATCCAGCCAATGGGCCACGCCCATTCAGCACCCGACGATGCATAAGTGGCTTTTGGGTTGCAGTTTGGGCACTCGGTCTCTAAAAGGTTAGCCATCACTGGAATAGAATAAGAAAGGAAAGGAATGGAACAGAATAGAATGGAATGGAATAGAAATAGAATAGAATACAATAGAATAAGAAAGGAAAGGAATGGAATGAAATAGAATAGAATTCTGTATTGGCCAAGTGTGATTGGAAACACTAGGGATTTGTTTCTGGTGCACAAGCTCTCAGTGTACATACAAACAACAAAATAATATAATCATAAGATACCAACAGAAGGAGGTAATAGGAAAGATGAGAAGGATAGTAGTAATACAGCCCTACTACATGGATAAATATTCCTAAACATAAGACAGTGTTGTGAGAATTTGATGTTCAGCAGTGTTCAGGTTCAACAAGAGGGAAAAAAAACCTTTTGTGTCTAGATACCGAGACACAAAAAGATAAAATAAAAATTAAAGATAAAAGTTTAATTTAAAGAATGAATTTGATTTAAACAATTTCAAGATAAAATAAAATTCAAAGATTAAAAAGAACCTGTAACCACGCAGATCACCTTTGGATTTAAGGAATAAATGAGAGCAGCCTTACTTTCCCATATTTGCTAAAGAGATTCTTCAGGTCAGTTGCTCGGGTACTGGAAGCGAGGCCACTGACCCAGAAGTTCCGACCGGTGCTAGTGCTACTGTGACCTAGTTGGAAAGAGAAAACTGAATCACCTGACAAGGTGCAATGTGAGAAGTTCAGCCACCATCGCTGCTGCCACCCTTTGAAAGGAACGCAACTCCCAAAAAAACCCCCTCTTTTATGTTCCACTAAAACAGGGGTCTTCAAACTTGGCCCTTTTATGATTTGTGGACTTCAACTCCCAGAATTCCTCAGCCAGCGTTTGAAGGGCCAAGTTTGAAGACCCCTGCACGAAAACCTCTGTTCTCACCCCAATGGGATTGGCTCACCCCCACCCATGCACGCAGAAGGAGCACGCTGTGGACCGGTCGGTCAAAGGATTCCAGCTGGCAGGATCCCAAAAGGCCTTTTCTGCCATGGCTCCCGCCCTCCGGAACATCGTGTCCCTTGCGGTGAGATTTGCCCCCACCCTCTTCGTTTTCCGGAAGAGCCTTGAAACCTGGCTCGGGGGGGGGGGGGGGTTGTCTCACTCTGGAGGTGGTTAATGGGTTAAGACTCCACCTCTACCCCCATTGGATGTTGCTTTCTTCCTTAGCTGTTTTTTTTTATTTTAATGTTAATTAACGATGGTTTTGTTTTCTATTGAGTGTTTTATCCTAGGAGTGACTAGATGGTGAGATGGGCGGCCTATAAATGTATAAGAGCTGTGGTGGCGCAGTGGTTAGAAGGCAGTATTGCAGGCTAATTCTACCCACTGCCAGGAGTTTGATTCTGACCGGCTCAAGGTGGAACTCAGCCTTCCATTCTTTCCGGTAAAATGAGGACCCAGATTGTTGGGGGCAATATGCTGACTCTGTAAACCGCTTAGAGAAGGCTGTAAAGCACTGTAAAGCGATATATAAGTCTAAGTGCTATTGCTAATGCCTGAAAATGTGGCAATAGTCTTATTTGAGGCCCTGTATCTTAGTTTCAACTGCTAGCATCCACTGGCGAGTGCCAATGAAGGAGATATTTGCAAAAGGGGCCCGAAATTACTGCCTTCGTAATGTCAAAATTCATCAATCTTTGCCATCTGCAGGATAGTATCCAGTATCAGTGGCATCATGCTAAAGCCGATTATTAATTTTTTTAACTGACAAAAAACCCCGTAGAATTGCATCTCAACTCAGGTCATGAAGCATCAGCTGAGGTCACGCGTTAAACCCATCAAACATTTAAATATCTTCTCCTCAGTTAGGTGGACAAGATAAAAAGAGTTTTACACAAAGGAATACAAATACCTTTTTCCTCTTTTGTAGCCTGTTTGGGGTCTTTGGATTCCTCAGAACTAAGAACAAAAAAGAGAAAGGAAAAGAAAATTGAGTCAGGAAATGAAAGAGGGAAAGGTTATTAGATATATAAGAATGTATTTTAAAAATTCATTTGAATGCAAATACCTACCCAATTTAAACGTAAGCGAATCAATGAATTAAAAAAAAAGCAGCCTTATAGTACTCACAATTTAAGCTTAGAAACTTAAAGAACTTTATAAAGATTAAAAAAAATAAAAAAGTTGCAAAACAATGTTTAATGCACAAGAAAGGGGAAATACAAAACCTAAAGGATTTTTTTTTAAGGGTAGCAAGGAATTTTAGTGGGCTTGCAGGCCAAATTGAAGAAATACCCTAATTTCTTATAGACCAACTATCTATATATGTACACATATAAAAAAAGGAAAAAGGCAGCATTTTGTCTAAAATGGAGAATTCTAAGGTACCAGCCCATATTATACATGGATTAATAAAACTGTTAAGCACTAGCAGTATTAACCCATTACTTACACAACTGAAAAAGAGAGGAAGATTAACATTCTTAAGAATCAGAGGTGAAATAAACAGATGCCATAATTTTTCCAAAATTCCCTCCCTTTTGATTCAAGGAGGAGGATGAGGGGATATATGTTCTATTTACAGATAGGAATCCAGTTATTTTTGCTTTTATTACTGCCTTGAAGTACAGAAAGTACGTAGCTGCGTCCTTGCATTTCTCTAGTAGTCATATTTAGCACTAGATACCTGCTTAAATATTGTAATATCACCACAAATTTGTATTATGTAGGTAGTCCTCAACTGATGACCACAGCTGAGCCCAAATTTTGTTATTATGTGAGACATTTGTTGAGTTTTGCCCCATTTTACGACTTTTCTGGTCAAGGTTGTTAACCGAATCACGGCAGTCGATAAGTTAGTGACTCCCATTTATTAAGTGAATCTGGCTTTCCCATGGACTTTGCTTGTCGGAAGGTTGCAAAAAGGGATCACGCAACCCCGGGACGCTGCAACCGTCATAAACGTGAGTCTGTTCCCAAGCGTCTGAATTTTGATTTATGTGACCTTGGGGATGCCGCAACGGTCCTGTGAAAAACGGTCGTAAGTCACTTTTTTTTTTAGTGCCGTTGTAACTTCGAACTGTCACTAAATGAACGATTGCAAGCCGAGGAGTACCTGTACTCTAACATAAGCCACCATTTGTACCAGGTTGTCCTAATGATGGTCTGAATGTGTGGCTAGTTTTCCTACACATTCTTCAGGGGCCAGGTGATTTTTTTTTAAAAAAGATTTTATTGTCCTCTTAAGTGTGCGTGTCTGCAGGTGTGCGTCTGTAACAATCCCCCCCTTTCCTATGTAGCCTCTATCTGACTGATTTCTAGACAGGCCCTGGCGTTCCACCCTGTGGATCAGATGTATCCAGTCTTGGATCTTGGACAGGGGGGGAAAAAAATAGCCCTGAGAAAAGAGACAATGGAAAGCTCTAAATCAGGGGTATCAAACTCAATTTCATTGAGGGCAGCATCAGCATGGCGGTTGCCCTCAGGGGGCCGGGTGGGTGTGGCCAGGGTGGGTGCAGCCTACTCGGTGGGCGTGGATAGAATGGGTGTGGCCTACTGGGTGGGTGTGGCCAGATCTACATCGTTCGCATCAAGGGCACCTGTGGGGGCCTGGGCAGGAGTGGGGTGGGACCAGGGCAAGTACCAAGGCATGGTCCACTGGAGGAGCCTCGCTGTTCCTCTCAGGCCATGCAAGGGGGGGGGCCTTATGGAGCTAAAAGTGAATGCATTTCAGCATAGATGGCCACCACAAAATTGTACATGGGCTCCCGGCCGGCCTGGGCCAGGGCCAAGGCAGCGGGGGCCGTTCCCTCACTGTTTCCAGGATGGCTTCGCGGGCCGCATCCGGACCCCGGGTTTGACACGTCTGCTCTCAATTATTGCATCTGTATAGTCTTCCTCCGTTATGGAAAGTGTTAACCTCTCCATCCAGTTTTCTAGACAGAGGCCGACCTGTTATCAAGGCTTACAGGATTATAAATCTGGGTATCATACTGGCTGGTACCTTACCCTGCTCTTTGGACGGATGCTATACTGACACAGCAGATCAGGGATTGGTATTTTCCTTTTGCTGCTAAAACGGAGAGAAACAAACCTCGTGTTCTGATCACCACCCTCTTGGGCAGAGGGCTCTCTAGTGGCAGAGGGCTCCTCCTCAACATTAGCCTTCACTTCCATCTTCTCGGCCTCTGGACTAACCACTTGGGGACCTGTGTCCGATTCCGCGGTTGCCTCACTACTGGCTTCCAGAGTTTGAGCTTCTCTGCTACTATCATCATCATCACCATCACCTCCTCCACCTCCACCTCCACTCCTGCTCTCTACCGCTAAAGAGTCCGAGTCCGGTTTGGCTTCCTCAACTGTCTGCTCGCTGGGCTCCCCTTTCGCTACCACTAAGAGCTTGGCTTCGTCCTCTTGGCTCTTGGCCGCCGGCGGGCCTGACTGGCTGTCTGTATCTACAAGGTCTTCGTCCAACTGGGTGCTGGCAGCCAGCGCGTCTTCGTCGTCTTCCTTTTTGTCCGGGAACGGTTCATTTGCTTCCTGCGCCTGCTCCGATTCAGACGCATCTTCTTTAAGGAACTCAGATTTACAAGTGTCACCCAAAATGTCGAGCATTTTCTCATTTTCTATAGATTTAACAGGAATAGAATGGCACAAGGTTTAATCACCAGGGAAACATAGCAAAGACATATGCGGAACGGGCATGGCTGCCAGTCTTAACAGTACGGTTATAAGCTACACAGAAACTGGAAAAAAAAACGCTGTCTGTATATCACATTCAAATGCCTAACGCTAAGACATAATTTTTAGAAAAGTTCATACGCTATGAAGGGAAAAAAACAAAACAAAAAAACCAACCCTGATCTTATCAGTTTTAACAAAAGCTGTCTGGCTCATTCTTGAGAGATCTTCAAGAGGTTCTTTCTTCCAGAATTCCAAGAGGCTTAAACAGAATGCATCAAGAACACACATTTCCATTTCAAACTCTGAATTTCTTTCTTTCATTTTGGTTTTAAAGCATGGCGGTCCAACAGGGAAACTGGAATGTCTTCTGATGATGCATGAACATGTAACTCCAAGAAAAGCAAATAGTAATTTTTTTTTTTTTATGGAATTTCCACGTAGAACCTCTCTTCTTGCTTCTTCTGCTTTAAGCTGTGACTCACAACGTTTCCCTAGGGCAACTTTTACACTAGCCTTTCTGCTCTACTGATCACACAATCACATACCACAATCTGTTCTATAGGATTTGCTTTCATTATTTGACATTTAACTTTCTTCTAGTGTATTTGTGAAGCTAGAGAGGACTTTAAAAAAAAATGTTTTTTTTTTCTCCCAGGTCTAGAAAAAAAGCCCTTCTTAAGTGGCAGGCATGAATTCACAGAGATGGAATCGTGATTGCATTCCAGATAATTACACACTAGAGAATTATGTGGGTTGTCCGGTATGTAATTAATTAATTAATACAACTAGAAAGTCCAAGAACTGGCCCCTTACCTCTGCTGTACTTTTAAAAATAGAAGAAATTAACAGAAAAATACCTGGTTCGGAATGTTGCTCTTCCAAATCCTGTGGCAAAAAACAGGAAAGAAAAAAAATATTAAACGAAGGGAAAATAATTGCTTCTATGTTCATATTGTGACTTCTAGGTCTATCTAGAAAAGACCCTGAGATTAAATGGTTGTAATCTGCTCCTCTTGACTGATCCCTTTATGGCAATCTCATACTGAACAAGGTTATTTTGTGAAATCGGTAAGTACTTTTCTTAAGCAACTACTGGGATTTTAAAAGAGTCGTTAAAATGTTTCCAAACAGGATTCTACAAGGCATAAAGAGTGACTTGTTCATTGATATAGAGGCCTTGTTATGGAAACCGGTTTGGCATAAAAGGAAAGCTAGAATAAGATTTAAGAATGTGACTTAAGGTTTTAGGTAATGGGTTTAAAAGGCTTATTAGATATGGATTGATTTATGGCTTAAGACAGTTAAATAAGAGGTTAGATTGAATAAAAATTAATTAAGGTTTGAACTTAATAATAACTTGTTTTGTCTATGTATTAATATGTTTTGGATACAGTAACTTTGGGAGGACGTTAAAGAAATTTGATACAGATATTGAGGGATTGATTGTTAGATTATAAAGAATAGAAATAAAAAGGTATCTTTTCTTTTTCTTTTGTCTGTTTTTTTTCTTTGTTCTTTTTTCCCCCCTTTCTGATTTGAATTAATATTTTCTTTTCTTATTAGAATTGATAGTCATTTGTAATGGAAGAGGAATAAGAAAAAGGAAGAAATGATATTAATAAATGCTTATTGAATATGTTAAGGAAAAGGGTTATGGGGAGACCCCCAAAGTGTTAACTAGGTATTTAGATTAGAAATATGGAACACAGTAAGTGAAATAGTTAAACTCAACACAGGATTTGGATTTGTAGATTTATTTAGACGAAAGATTATTGAGGATTGCTATGACTGATTTAGTTGTATTGTAATATATCAATTTGAATATAATATGTCATTAGAGGGAAAAGAGAGGAGGTTTTTAATACTTAATTCGAACTTTATGAATATGACTTTGTTTTGTGGACAATTGATTGCCCTGCCACCACGTTGTTTCTTAAGCACTTGTTTGTAAAATGAAAAAACCAATAAAACTTGTTTTTTTTTTAAAAAAAAAATGTTTCCAAACACGTAGTAAGAGGATTCTATAGATACTTTTTTAATCCACGCGTACTTGAAAATATTCGGAGATACTAAGAGTACAGTTGCAAGAGAGGTGGGAGAAAGAAAGACAACAGAAGAAGCCAAAAAAAAAAAAAAAAGGCCAGAGTCATGTAGTCGAGATGCGCACCTAGATGAGTCTAATCTAACGGGGCTAGATGAATCAAAAGTTGGAATTAAGATTGCCGGGAGAAATATCAACAACCTAAGATACGCAGATGATACCACTTCTAATGGCAGAAAGTGAAGAGGAACTAAAGAGCCTCTTAATGCGGGTGAAGAAGGAGAGGGCAAAAGTGGGCTTGAAACTCAACATCAAGAAAACCAAGGTCATGGCATCCGGTCCTCTCAATTCCTGGCAAATAGATGGGGAAGAAATGGAGGTAGTGACAGATTTTATCTTCCTGGGCTCCAAGATCACTGCAGATGGGGGCTGCAGCCAAGAAATTAAAAGACGCTTGCTCCTGGGGAGGAAAGCTATGGCAAATCTAGACAGCATACTAAAAACCAGAGACATCACCCTGCCAACAAAAGCGCGTATAGTCAAGGCCATGGTTTCCCCAGTTGCAATGTACGGCTGTGAAAGTTGGACCATAAGAAAGGCTGAGCGTCAAAGAATGGAGGCCTTTGAACTCTGGTGCTGGAGAAGACTCCTGCGAGTCCCCTGGACTGCAAGGCGATCAAACTGGTCAGTCCTAAAGGAGATCAACCCTGACTGCTCTTTAGAAGGCCAGATCCTGAAGTGGAAACTCAAGTCCTTTGGCCACCTAATGAGAAGGAAGGACTCACTGGAGAAGAGCCTGATGCTGGGAAAGATTGAGGGCAATAGAAGAAGGGGACGACGGAGAACGAGGTGGCTGGATGGAGTCACTGAAGCAGTAGGCGTGAGCTTAAATGGACTCAAGAAGATGGTAGAGGACAGGAAGGCCTGGAGGAACGTTGTCCATGGGGTCGCGACGGGTTGGACACGACTTCGCAAGACTTCGCAACTAACAACGAGTCTAAAAAAGGGGAAAACAGGTCACCAAAAAAGAGTTTGTGATCCAGAATTACAGATGTCTTGTCAAGAAGACTAACATTCAGAATTAGTAGGGAACAACATAACAGCTGGAAGGGACCTTGGAGGACTTCTAGTCCAGAGTTCCCCAATCTTTCCAGGTTGGCAGCCCGAAAGAGGGGGGGGAAGGAAGAAAGAGGGGATGATTTTGTTGGAGGCACAGAGGCGTGTACGCACAGATAAGACCCACTGCTCGTGCGAGGCCAAGAGTGCTTGCGACGCTCATGTGAGAGGGGCTGTGCGTGTAGACACACATGCGCACCCGCCAGCCACTCACACGGCCCTGTTGCGAATAGGCCACGGACCGGTAGTGGGCTGTAGCACACACGTTGGGGACCCCTGTTCTAATCCAACCCCATCAAGGGGAAAAATATCTAACAAAAACAAAAGTGGACTCAATGATTCAAAGGGGTGGAAGGATATTATTTGTTTGATGGCTCAGAGGTTGACCAGCCATTTGTTGGGGATGTTTAATTTAAATTTCTGAAATGAATACAAGGTAGGATCCATGATCTAATGGCTTCTTTCAAGGCCTCGATTCCTTAAACAAACAAACAGCAACAACAACAAAAACAACAAAACAGCCGCAGCCATCTGGTATTTACCTTGCACTTAGCTATGAATATTTACAAAACCCTAAACCAACCGTGTTTCTCAACCTTGGCAACTTGAGGGTGGGTAGAATTCTGGGAGTTGAAGTCTACCCATCTTCAAGCTGCCAAAGTTGAGAAACACCGCCCTAAACCATTTAGGACTCTTAAACATAGGCGAAGTTCCTGCTGTTATTTTTAAAAGGAATAGTTAGGTCACAGTATGTCAATACTGTAATAACATATAAGGAATCTAAATCTCAAGGGCTGAAACCAGCTCCTTGTTTAATTCCCAGGGTATCACCAGATCACAGGCATTTCTTTTCCAAACGCCATGTTTCTCAGCCATAAGCTGCCAAGCTTCTAGAAAAACAAAAGGCTTTTAAATCCATTTCTGCCTGTGCAAACAGCTCAACACAGAACTTCTGATATTTATACACCTTTCTGTGAAAAAAGGGTAGTATAATCAAGATTAAAGTAGTCATAGGGGAAAAAAAGACGGTGCCCTTATAAGACAGAACTCAGTCCAAAAATTTAAGAAACCAGTAAAAAAAAAATAATCACAAAAATAGCGTAATAATTTATTGAAAGTAAAATTCTGTAAATGTCTGCCATAAGAAAGCTCTTTTAGCTATCTGGCCCAACAAAGCACTTTTGGAATTGGATGTTGAGACTCTAGAAAGAGTACAGAGAAGAGCAACAAGGATGATCAGGGGACTGGAGGCTAAAACATATAAGGAATGGTTGCTGGAATTGGGTATGTCTAGTTTAATGAAGAGAAGGACGAGGGGGGACATGATGGGAGTCTTCCAGTATCTCAGGGGCTGCCCCAAAGAAGAGGGAGTCAAGCTATTCTCCAAAGTGCCTGAAGGCAGGACAAGAAGCAACGGGTGGAAACTAATCAAGGAGAGAAGCAACCTAGAACTAAGGAGAAACTTACTGACAGTGAGAACAATTAACCAGTGGAACAACCAGCCTCCAGAAGCAGTGAATGCTCCAATACTGGAAGTTTTTAAGAAGAGACTGGACAGCCATTTGTCCAAAATGGTATAGGGTTCCCTGCTTAAACAGGGGGTTGGACTAGATGACCTTCAAGGTTCCTTCCAACTTTATTATTATTATTATTATTATTATTATTATTATTATTATTATTATAATAATAATATTATTATGAAGAGACTGCCTCCTCAGCCCTCAGAATTCCAGTGTATTAAAATTTATTTCCATAAATTCCATAGGGTTGGATAATGGGTTGAAATCTGAACCGCGTGAAGGAATATTGGTGTACCTGTCTGATTTGGCCCTGTAAAAATAGAATTACAGCCGCACAACTCGTCAAAAAAATAAAAACAGCGGGCAAGGGAAGCAAAAGCCACCCCATAACTGTCAATTGCAAACTGTTTGAGTGATCACCAGGCCCCACTGATCAGAAATAGCCAACACAACTGCTCTTTCTTCTAAGAGAGATAGAAGGGGGGGGGGGATGCTAAAGAATTTGGGCTTGGTTTGGGAGACAAGGGCAGAAGGCAAGTTAACTTGGCACCTTTGAAAAAAAAAAGTTGTGGGTTGAATGATTACAACACATCTCCCAAGCCTGTTGAGAGCTAGCAACTTACCTTCATTTCAGCCAAGTCAGGGGAAGCAGCCTCTAGCTGGTCATCAAGTTCATCACCGTTCTCCTGAGAGAATAAATAACAGGTACACCTTTCAGAAGCTGATCATTGATCTATCGAGGCAAAATCCATCAGCAGGATATGAATGTTGGTGCCCCAGCGTTACATACGCTTACTGCGAATAGCAACTGGCAGAACCCCCCCCATCCCTCAAGCCTCAAATCGGCCGATTTGAGGCAGCGCTGATCCCAGCGCTCCTGTGAAAGCAGTCTGGGGAAACTCAAGGAAGGAATAACTGACCTGTATGCTAAAGAAAAATGGTTGAGGCAAGGAGAATTCACCAATGGATCTCTGACCTGCTAAATATAATCTAAAATCTGAGAGCCAAACCTGACATGTCTTCAAGAGCTTGAGACCAAGTCAAGACCGGGATCCCCTAGCAACAGGGGGGCGTGTCAAGTTTGGCTAACTTGATCTCAAGAGCAGGCAGACAGAGAAAACCCATTGGTGGATTCTCCATCTCCTGTGCTGGAGAAGTAACACATTTCATTGACACACTTAGCTAGGACCAGGTTTCGTTTCCCAGTGACGTTCAGCCTGTGCAATGCCAGAGGAGTCCTGTGAACATTCCAACTGCTGAAGGAAAGGCATCAGAAATAGCACGCTGAGCCAGGACAGAGGAGTGAAACTGGCCGCATGCAGCTAATCTTTCAATTTATTTACATTATACCCAGCAGAAAAACAATAGGGGACTGAGTTTCTTTTTCTTTCTTTCTCTTTCTTTCTTTCCTTTTCTTTCTTTCTTTTCTCTTTCTTTCTTTCTCCCCTCCCTTTGTTTCTGTTAAAGGTAGTTCTCGACTTACAAGTTTGTTTAGTGACCGTTCAAAGTTACAACATTGGGAAAAAAAGGACTTATGACCATTTTTCACACTTAGGACCTCTGCAACAACCCCATGATCACGTGATCAAAATTCCAATGCTTGGTCACTGATTCATATTGCAGTGTCCCGGGGTCATGTGATCCCCTTCTGGGACCTTCTGACAAGCAAAGTCCATGGGGAAGCCAGATTTACTTAACAACCGTATTACCAACTGAACAACTGCAGTGACTCACTTAACAACGGTGGCAAGAAAGGTTGTAAAAATGAGGCAAAACTCACTCAGCCAATATCTCACTGAACAACAGGAATTTTGGGGCTCAATTGTGGTCGTAAGTCAAGGACTATCTGTAGTTAGCTATAAAATTTACCGGCTGCCCACTTTACCGCAGGGTAACCCTGGGCGGCTTACAATAATAAAAGATAAATATCTATAATAATAATAATAATAATAATAATAATAATAATAATAATAATAATAATAATAATAATAATAATAATAATAGTAGTAGTAAAGTTGGAAGGGACCTTGGAGGTCATCTAGTCCAACCCCCTGCTCAGGCAGGAAACCCTATACCATTTCGGACAAATGGCTGTCCAGCCTCTTCTTAAAAACCTCCAGTGTTGGAGCATTCACTATCTATAAACAGGTAATACAAGCCAAACGCTACGATCCAATCAAAGATAGGGAAGGGTGGGGGCAGGATGGAGGGGAGATAAGATCAGTTGTTAATCGATCAGCCACCTTCCACTGTGATGCTTCCCCACTGGATCCCCCAAGCTAACTAGGCGAGCGAGGTCTTCGTATTGGTTCTGAGTGGTCAGCCTTAATCTTGGCGGGCACATCTCCGGCATGATATAAATAATGAAATATGCCCCCCCCCCGATGATCTACCTCGCTTTCCATCAGCTGCTCTGGAAGTTCTTTCATTTCCATGTCCAGGTTGTCCTTGTCGGGATCAAGAATGCTTTCAGACCGGTAGTCATCGCCACAGTCCACGGCGCTGCTGTTATCTATTTCAGCTTCATCCAACACACTGATGTCCATCATGTCGATATCCTGCAGATTGTCTGAGCTTGCTTCAATATCCTCCTGTAGTTGAAGTGGGAAAGAAAAAGGGAAACCGATTCTTACTGTTAACTTGAAAACTTTCAAAGAAACAACACATTTTTCTTCCCCCCTCCCCGCAACCATACCTGTCCATCTCTGGAATTCTCTTCCAATCCATTGTCCTCGCCCCCTTCTTCTTCTGATTTACGTCCTAAAAGAATAAAGCTTTAATATACTGCTAGGAAGTTTAACATAACTGATAGTCCTTAGAAACAATATACTAAAAGTTCAAGCCGGCGATACGCTGCCTTTATTTACAGAGGGGTAAAATAACTGCCAGCCTCACTGTAAATAAAGAAAAAAAACCCAAACATAATTTTAAATATGCCACGCCTTGTTTACATTACACACAAATGTATCATACAAATGAAACTCTTATTGCCAGATAATGTCAATTTTATTATGTAGCCCAAGGGCAACTAAGCACCTATAGTTCGACAAAATATACTGAGGTGCAAAACACTGAATAAAACTGTGCTCCAAAATTCAGATTTTGATCACCAAGAGTTTGAAGCGTGTTAAGAATCATTTTTAATGTGATTACTGAAAATAAAAGACTACAGACAAAACTTGGCTGACCACTGTTTCCTAACTCAGAATACTTGCACAATTGTCATCCCTGACTTTGAAGGATGCTACAGATCAGCTATGCGAACAGCAAATTCTGGTGATGAATTGTAAAATAACTAGACCCAAGACAGAGCTGCTAAGAAATAGAAAAGCGGATCTGCGAGCTCTCGTTAACCCAGAGATTGGAGAATCATAAAAAGCTATCTTCTAAAAATACCAAAGGACACCACAATTCCCAAATTGCTCAGAAGATTAAGTATGTTCAGGAACCATGCGTTAAAAAGTCACGTAGAGAAAAAAATGACTTCTGTTAGCAGCAAGAATGTGTGACAAAGCCAAGTAGTGCTGCAGATCCCACTTATTTTTATTTATCTAGCATCAAGCTGCATCTTTTTTAAAAAAATGACCCCCCACAGGTTTGCAATCTGAACACATACATACATACATACATACATACACACATGTAATTCAATCTTACTGAAAAACTGTTTTGTACCTTTTATAGATCTTTTGGGGGTTTTCTTGCTAGTGTTCTCTGAGGCCATGGGAACCTCATCAGGATTCCCTCCTTCTTCTTCAATAGCCTGTCAGGAGGAAACAATGTGAGGTTTTACAGCAAGAACAACTGGTTTCTGAATTGGCCGGAAAGTAGGCAGTCTTTTCTGTTCTATGTCCCCAAACAATTTCCTCTGTTCACCGTGGATATAGATACCCCTATCTATCTCCATTTTACCTCTCTCCTCTCATAGTCTGATTTAATCTTTTCTTATTCCTTATCTGCCTCTTTTAATTTTTCATTCTTCTCCCTGCTGACATTATCCAAATCCTCTCTTTCTCCCAAACTATAGTACCTCAATTATTTCTGCCAGGTTACCTCTTCCTATTATAAAACTCTCACCTCTACTTAAGATATATGCCTTTCGTTTGCCTTCCTCTAATTTTTCCCACGACCGCTTTTTGATTTCCTCTTTTTTATGCCGCGACTGCATGGCATTTTAGTTTTTTAAGGAACGGATCGGGATATACTTTTCCAAAGAAGCAAATAACTTTGTTGTAAAGTCTAATACAGTGGTTCTCAGCCTTTTATTCACCACTGACTTCCTTTTAATACCTTTTGTGGCCATGGACCCCCAAGACTTAACTCAAAAATTTAAATCATGACATTTCCTCAAATCTTCGCAGACTTCCTGTAACAACATTCCCGCTCCCCCCTCCCTGAGGTCCGCAGACCACAGGATGAGAACCCCTTTCTATGCCTCAACTCGACCAATTTCCTCCTACCCATTTCTCTTGTTCATCAAACCTTCACCCTTGCTTATTGTGCTAGAATCTCCTTTCTTTTTCTGGATTTCAATTCCAGCTATTATTTCCCACATAAATTATTTCTAGTCCTACCTTTCTCATTTCCTTTGCTTAACAGTCCCTTCTCTGCAGAAAGCTCTGGCTTTCCTTCTCACTTTCCAGTCCCTCCTTTTTTGTTGAATGCCTCATTTGTCTATTCATTTCCTATGTACCACCTTCTGTTTCATTTCCATCTGCTGCTTATAACTTTCTTCTCTCGTCCTTCAATTCCATTTCTTTCTCTGATACACCTTCAATCTACTCACAATCACATTCTCCATTTAAATCTTAACTCTGGATTCATAACAATTCTTCTCCTTCTTCTGCTGAATCTGACCAAACACCCTTCGAGACTACAGAGATCACACTCATATTAACCGTGGCTATTCCACAGGGATATATTAAAACACGGGATAAACAGCTACTGAAAGCAACAGGATCAGAATATAAACTACAGCAAAACAAACATCAAAAAGAGTACAATTTTTTTACTCATTCCATTCTCTTTAGAATCCATTCTTTAACTATTGTTACTTATTGCTATTTCAATGGAGCCAGATGAATCAATCACCGTTCTTGATTCCCAGTGTTTCCTATGGATTTTGGCATAAGATTTAGAGATATCCTACTATGAAATTAGAGATGACAGAATGCCTCTGATTCTGGAGGCTATAGAGCTGTAACTTTTGAAACCTCCATATGAATGGTCATGTAACCTTATGAAGAATAATGAATTCAGAAAGCCTATGCTAAAATCAGTTTATTCATCTTAGAATACTAGATTCTTATTTGTTCTCAATAGCTTTTTCCTCCACGAATTTCACAGTACTAGAATGCAAGATCATCCACTGAAATTAAATGATGTAAAATTGAAGGCAGAGAAAGACCCAAATTCATGGAAATTGAGGCTATCACAGTGGAGAGCATAACCACCTCCAAAAATGCCAGTTGCTGAAAATAGGAGCTGGAAAGTGCGAAGTATTCATATTCTACTGGGAGTCTTCCCAGAGGCTTTGCAGAAAACAGGATGCGAGATAACAAGAGCCCGTTGCTTAATCCAGCTGACCCCTCCTTAGGGAGATTTAGCATGATTACAAAATTGGTCTCCTATATCCACTACCAATCCTACCATACATCATTAATTGCTGGGAACAAGGGAAGGCTATGATACACCAGGGTTTCCCAACAGAATAAAGGGTACTGAACCAAAAGGATTTGTGTTACATTCCCACTGAGGCTCTCCCCACCCATTTTGACTTCCCTTCAAATCTCTTCCCTCTTTTGACTTCAACACCCCATCCAGATCTAGTGACTTTGGATTGGATGCTACTTAACTATCACTCTCAGCTGAGAAGGTTGAGAGGTGGAGTTGCAGCCCCTCTCTGGGAGTAGATTCAATTCCCAACAAGCCTGGCTGACAGGAGTTGTAATCTCTTGTCTCTGGAAGGCCAGCAAGTTGGGGCAAGGCTGCCTTGAATCCTGCCCTCCAGGGAGAATGGGCTAAACCTCAGACAGGTGGCTAATAATGGGAGTTGCACCATAGGTATCTTTAGGACAACCATGAGCTGCTGGATGACTGTGAGCTGTAGTCCACTCTGTGGAGGGCTGCCAATTGGTGTGAGAGGCTACCTTACTCCTTCCCTCCAGTGAAATAGGGCTTCAATTCCCATCATCTTCCCAACTGATTCATGGGAGTTGTAATGTCATATCTGGAAGGCTGCCTTAAATCCTTCTTTCTAGAGACAGGACTTCCTATCACCCCAAGGCTGGCTGATGGAAATTGTAATTACTGGAAGGCTGCCTTAAATCCTGCCCTCCAGAGACAGCTCTTCAACACCCATCATCCCCAAGGCTGGCTGATGGGAGTTGTAATCCTACAATAGAATAACAGAGTTGGAAGGGACCTTGTAGGTCCTCTCCAACCCCCTCCCCCCAAGCAAGAGACCCTACACCATTTCTGACAGATGGCTGTCCAGTCTCTTCTTGAAAGCTTCCAGTGATGAAACTCCCACAGCATCTGAAGGCAAAGCAGTTCCATTGGTTGATTGTTCTCACTGTAAGAAAATTTCTCCTTAATTCCACATTGCTTCTCTCCTTGATCAGTTTCCATCCATTGTTCCTGGTCTGGCCTTCAGGTGCTTTGGAAAATAGGTTGTCCCCCTGCTCTCTGTGACAGCCCCTCAAATATATTGGAAGACTGCTAGCATGTCACCCCAGTCCTTCTCTTCACTATAGCCACAGCCAGTTCCTGCAACCGGTCTTCATATGTTTTAGTCTCCAGTCCCCTAATCCCTGAAAGGCTACCTTAAATACTTCCCTCCACAGACAGCACTTCAGCACCCATCATCCCCAGCCCTGGCTGATGGGAGTTGTATCCCTGGAAGGCTGCCTTAAACCCTTCTTTCTAAAGACAGAACTTCAATTCCTATCATCCCCAAGCCTGGCTGATTGGAGTTGTAATTCCTGGAAGGCTGCCTTAAATCCTGCCCTCCACAGACAGCACTTCAGCCCCCATCATCCCCAAGCCTGGCTGATGGGAGTTGTAATTCCTGGAAGGCTGCCTTAAATCCTGCCCTCCACAGACAGCACTTCAGCACCCATCATCCCCAAGCCTGGCTGATGGGAGTTGTATCCCTGGAAGGCTGCCTTAAACCCTTTTTTCTAAAGACAGGACTTCAATTCCTATCATCCCCAAGCCTGGCTGATGGGAGTTGTATCCCTGGAAGGCTGCCTTAAACCCTTCTTTCTAAAGACAGGACTTCAATTCCTATCATCCCCAAGCCTGGCTGATGGGAGTTGTAATCCCTGGAAGGCTGCCTTAAATCCTGCCCTCCACAGACAGCACTTCAGCCCCCATCATCCCCAAGGCGGGCTGACGGGAATTGTACTCCCTGGAAGGCAGCCCTCCAGCGAATTCCCCACTTCACGGTGCTGCCCGGGATGGGCCTTGTAGTCCTTGGCCACGCGCTCCCCCGCTCCTTCCCCCGCGGCGGCCGGGAAGCTCACGCTGCGCAGCCGCTCGAGAAGGACGCTCTTGTTGCCGCCCGTGTCCAGGTTGCGGCGCTTCAGCTCGGCCCGGAGGTCGATCACCCGCAGGTCGCCCAGGCGCCGCCGAGGGGTCGAGGTCGCGGGGGTCGTCCCGGAGCCGCCCGCAGAAGGAGCCGCGAGCCCCGCCGCTGCTGCTGTTGCCGCCGCCGCCGCCTCGTCTTCGCCAACGGGCCCGGCCGGCCCTTGCGCCCCCTCCGCCATCCGCGAGAGCTTCCCAAGGCGCCGCTTCTCCTCACATGAAGCGACCGAAACGAGTCGCGGGGACAAAGATGGCGGTGGCCGAGCAAAAACGACACGGCTTCCCTAGGTTTTTTATTCTCGCCGCAACCGCCGTCTTTTCCCTCCTCACGGCCCGGTTCTTTCTCCCCCTCAGACAAAATGGCGGGAAGGCCCAACACCGAGAGGCAAGTACGGCCTCGGGAGAGGGGCGCTCAAGATGCGCCTGCGCGGAGGGAAGGGAGGGGGGAAGAGAAAAGGAAGAACCACCTGCGCACGCGCGGCAGGCCGAAACTCGCTGGGCTCGCGAAGAGTGCGCGCGCACGAGAGGGAGGGAGGGTGAGGGACCCCGGCGCGCACGCGCTAGCGAGTGCCTTTCGCGCCCTTCCATCCCTTAACTATAGAGCTAAACGAGTTAGAGCAGAGCTTCCCCATCCTGGCTGGGGAATTCTGGGAGTTGAAGTCCACAAGGCTTTAAAGTGGCCAAGTTTGAGAAACACTTCATTCAAGGCACTAAACCTCCACATTCCTTGCAGTGGTTTTTTATTTATTTATTTATTAAAATGACAGAAAAGTTTACCAGGGTTAAATCAAAAAAAGATTTTGGAGTTATTTTCCTCTTAGCCCCCTCCAAAAAACCAAACAAAGATCCTCTCTTGAAGATTTAGGGAGCGAATACAGGTAGTCCTCAACTTACAACTTTAAAGTTAATGTTCAAAGTTACTACGGCACTGAAAAAAATTGTTTTTCACACTGACGGTGGTTGCAGCATCCTCATGTTCACATGATCAAAATTTGGACAATTTGGTTCATATTTATGACGGTTGCAGTGTCCCAGGATCATGGGATCCTCTTTTCTGACAAACCAAGTCTTTGGGGAAGACGGATTCACTTCAGAACCGTGTTACTAACTTGCAGTGATTCACTTAACAACTGTGGCAAACGAATGAAACATAAAGAACTAGAAAAAAGAAAATGTATGAAGAGATAAAATAAAGAATGAAAAGCAGTAAAACTCAAGAGAAGAAGAAAGAGAAAGAAAAAAAAGAAACACATCTAAAGAATTGATGTCTGCCCTTGTCTACAACAGTTACCACTTACAAACATAATTATTTCCATTTTTGCAATCCAAATTATATATCATGTTCCCTCCGGGACCAGATGGATTATCAGGTTATTACTATGAATGTTTTTGAGGATTTTTTTAAAAATAATCTTTAGAAAACATGGTAAACACTGTGATGTAAGAGAGCTGGAAAATCATAGAGCAGTGGTGGCGAACCTACGGCACGGGTGCCAGAGGTGGCACTCGGAGCCCTCTCTGTGGGCACACGTGCCGTTGCCCCAGCCTCGCCTCCCCCGTGACCCCCTCTTCTCCACCAACCCCCCTGAAGGAGAGTCGCCCCCGAGCGTGGCCCACGCAGAGCAGCGCAGCCAAGGACATGGCAGCCAGGCAGCGTAGACAAGACTCTGCCCTCACACCCCATCATGCAGTTGATGCTGCAGGGCGCGGGCAGAGGGCGTGGCCGCCATAGCTCTGCTGGGCTGCCTGGGCGATCTGCGGCGGGCCCTGGAGGTGGTGAGTGGCCCTGCGGGCAGGCGGGGTGGGGGATGGGGGGGCGGAGCGGGGCAGGGGGTAGAGCGGGGGTCTCTAAAAGGTTCGCCATCACTGTCATATAGCATTAATGCGTACAAGGACAAGAATTGACTGCAACAATAAACTGCAAGTAATCCTGGACTTACAACCGTTTGCTTAGTGTCTGTTCGAAGTTACAACGGTAGTGAAAAAAGTGACTTATGACCGGTTTTCCAATTTATCATCTTACAGCATCCCCTTGGTCATGTGATCAAAATTCAGATGCTTGGAAAACTGACTCATCTTTATGATGGTTGCAGTGTCCCAGGGTCACGTAATCCCCTTTTGTGGCCTTCTGACAAGCAAAGTCAGTGGGGAAGCCCCAAAGGGGCTTTTTCAAGAGGCAACTGGACTTTCTTGTTTTTCTTTGAAGACGTTTCGCTTCTCATCCAAGAAGCTTCTTCAGCTCTGACTGGATGGTGGGGAATGGGAGGATTTATACTCCTTGCAGACAGCTGGTCATTTGCATCCTTTTAGACAGTCGTTGAGGCCACTTGGAGGTTTATCTGTGTCCTCAGGGTCATCTGAGTGGGGCAAATGGGCGTGGAGCCTTCTTGGGAGCTGCTGAAAGGATTGTGTTGCAGACTGGAGGTGGATGGTGTCCTCAGCAGTTCCAAGAAGGCTCCACGCCCATTTGCACTACACAGGTGACCCTGAGGACACAGGTAAACCTCCAAGTGGCCTCAACAACTCTCTGAAAGGATGCAAATGACCAGCTGTCTGCAAGGAGTGCAAATCCTTCCTGGATGAGAAGTGAAACATCTTCAAAGAAAAACAAGAAAGTCCAGTTGCCTCCCGAAAAAACACCATTGGGATAACTATGACTTGGATGATGGAGAATCTCCATAGATGTCAATGGGGAAGCCAGATTCACTTAACAACCGTATAACTAACTTTAACAACTGCAGTGATTCACTTAACAACTGTGGCAAGAAAGGTTGTAAAAAGGGCAAAACTCAACAATTCTCTTGTTTAGCAATGGAAATTTGGGCTCAATTGTGGTCGTAAATTGAGGACTACGTGCATTCAGAAACGCCACAGAACTCTGTAAATCTTAGAGGCTATTAGAGATTGCATTTCTGGGCATAAGCTCCACCTTCTGAAATGTGTTTCTTCCCAATACTGTCTGTCCTTGTTTAACAACCACAATTGGTGCTGGAACAATGGCCACTAAGTGAAATGGTTGCTCAGTGAACCACATGATAGAGAGAGAGAGAGAGAGAGAAAGAGACACTGAATATTGCTAGTTACTGCTCTTCACTTCTCTTATGCAGCCACACTGGCATTGCTCTCTCCCTGGTGTGTGTTGTTGTCAGGTACAGAAATTTGGATGTAGGTTCACACAATAATTTTTTTAAACTATTTTATTTACCATCAAATTTGCAAATGGTTGCTGTTCTAAGATGCAGACTTATGACTGCAATGGAGCCCAAATTTTCTGTTGTTCATTGAGACATTTCAGTTAATTTTGCCCCTTTTTACGACCTTTCTCGCCACAGTTGTTCAGTGAATCACAGCTGTTCTTAAGTTAGTAACTTGTTAAGTAAATTTGGCTTCCCTCCTTGACTTTGCTTGGCAGAAGTTCGCAAAAGGGGAATCACGTGACCCTGGGACCCTGCGACCATCGTAAATGTGAGTCAGTTGCTAAATGTCTGAATTTTGCTCATGTGACCCTGGGATGCAGCAACGGTCGTAAATGTGAAAAATGGTCATAAGTCACTTCTTTTTAATGCTGTTGTAACGTTGAACAGTCACTAAATGAACTGTTGTAAGTTGAGGATGATCTGTACTTGCTAAACGAGGACTACCTTCCTATGCTTTTAGGAGTATTTCTAAAGCAGGGGTCCCCATCCCCCGGTCCATGGACCGGTACCGGGCCGCAGCATGCCAGCAACCGGTCTGCACAAACAAGCAAAGGCCCATCTGCAGTATGTAGGCAGCACACAAAACCACACACCCTCCGGTCTGTGGAAAAAGCTCTCTCCAGCGAACTGGTCCCTGGTGCCCAAAAGGTTGGGGACCTCTGTTCTAAAGTGAAATTTCCAGGGAACGATGTATTTTCTTTTACCTAGTTACTTCAGAGAGCACCAAGGACCCCTCATTTTGATTTCTTGTCATGCTTTGCAAGGCAACGACGGAGTTCCCAAAGGATGCCCCCCTCCCAAAAGTTCACCCGGGTCTGTCACAACCTCCCCTGCTCACCTCTTGGGTCCCTGCAAGCTGCGACATCCGGATCAGAGTCAGAACAGGGGTTCCTTGAAATGTCTCTAAACGATAATCCAAGCAGCAGCGTCGATTCAGAAAACCTGAACGGGTCTCAGATGATTCCTGCATAAAATACACGAAACAATTCAAGCTGTGCATGCGTTCTTAATTTTGGAGTGGGAGGAGCGTATAAAATAGTTTTAAAAAAACTTTAAAGCTGGGGGGAGGGAGGCTATTTTTTTTTTATGAGATTTTTGTGCTGCCCATCTTGTCTAACAGCATCTTACGAATGAAATATTGTATTTTCTGAATGTTTATTTTTGATAGCAATAAGTCTGTCTGGGTGTGTATGTATACACACAGAGAGTCCTCAACTTACAACAGTCCATTTAGTGACTGTTTGAAGTTACAACGGCACTGAAAGTGACTTATGACCATTTTGCATACTTACAACCACTGTAGCATCCCCGTGGATCCAAATTTGGGTCCTTGGCAACTGACTTGATATTTATGACGGTTGCAGTGTCCTAGTCATGTGATCACCTCTCGGTACCTTATGACAAGCACGGTCAACGGGGAAGCCAATTTCACTTAACAACCATATTACTAAAGAACTGCAGTGATTCACTGTGGCAAGCAAGGTTGTAAAATGGACAAAATTCACTTAACAAATGTGTTGCTTAGCAACAGAAATTTTGGGCTGAATTGTGGTAAGTCAAGTAGTACCAGTATCTGTGCATGTGTGTATATATGTGTCTGTGTGTGTTTATATATATATATATGTGTGTGTGTGTGTGTGTGTGTGTATTTGTGTATGTGTGTGCATATGTATATATATAAAGCATTGATGAACTTACATGAATTCTGTTCTTTTTATTTCTGAATTTCAGTGGCTTTTGCACATTTTTAAAATTCTATTTTTAGTCAGCATCATTTCCTATTCAAGCAAGCGACTGATCTTCCTATATTTAGTCGCATCTAAGGTGGGCCAAGATATGCTCAGGGCGCATGCGCTCCCAGCGCTCTCTCGTTTCTCCGCTTTGTTTCGCCGTTCCCCACGTCGCGCACGCGCCCCGTCCGCCTCTTCCCCATTAGGCCGCGTAAGCAAGGACGCGCATGCGCAGTGATCCCTCACCAGGCCAGCTCTGCGCGTGCGTAGAGAGAGAAGATCACCCGCCATTTTATGCATGCCGGGAGCGCTCGCGCGCCCCGCATAGACGTTTTATCTTTTTTTTTCCGGAAATTTGTTTTTAATAGTTTTGGGAGTGAATTCGTTATTTTTGCGAGCCAAAGTTCCGCCCGAGAAGCCGCTTGTTTTTTTTTTTTTTTCTCCACAGTCTTCCCTCATGGCGGCCGAGAATCAGGCCGGGCTCGCCGCAGAAGCGACGGTTTCCCTCAGCGGTGGCGGCTCGGAAAGCTTGGGAGACGGCGTGGCCCGGCGGCGCCTGAGCGACCTGCGGGTGATCGATTTGCGGGCCGAGCTGAAGCAGCGCAACCTGGACAGCGGAGGCAACAAGAGCGTCCTTCTCGAGCGGCTCCGGAAGGTAAGAAGAGCGCTGAGCCTTCTTGGAAGGGCTGGCGGGGCTGAAGGGGTTAAATCCACTGCGCATGCGCCCCGGCGCAACGTTCATCTCTGGCTCGGTTGCGGAATGTAGACTCTATAAACCAAAGAGTCGCCTTCGGAACTGGACGTTCAGGGACTCCTGCGAAATTCGTGGCTACTGCTTGAATCTTCATCAACGCTGGGTCTGGTTTTAAGAATTGGTGGCTGGTCCGTCACTAAATGTTTTTGAGAATGGACAACCATTGAACAGAATAACAGTTGGAAGCGACCTTGGAGGTCTTCTATCTAGTCCAGGGGATTCTTCAAACGTGGCCCTTTTATGACTTGTGGACTTCAACTCCCAGAATTCCTCAGCCAGCGGTGCCTGGCTGAGGAATTCTGGGAGTTGAAGTCCAGAAGTCATAAAAGGGCCAAGTTTGGAGACCCCTGATCTAGTCCAACTCCCTGCTCAGGTAGGAAGCCCCGTACCATTCCAGACAAACGGTTGTCCAGTCTCTTTTTAAAAACCTCCAGTGCTGGAGCATTCACAACTTCTGGAGTCAAATTGTTGCACTGATTAATTGTTCTTCACGGTCAGGAAATGTATCTGAAATGATATATAGGCCAGTGGTGGCGAACCTATGGCACGGGTGCCAGAGGTGGCACTCAGAGCCCTCTCTGTGGGCACGCACGCCATCACCCCAGTCCTAGGCCTTCAGCTGGGTTTTATAAAACCTTTTCACTTTAGGCCTCCGCCGCTGTGTACAAAAAAAAAGGTTCAATCAATCAGTCAATTTCAACTTCTCATGGGGAAAAAAAAAGATCTTGCAGGGTTGGAATTGATTGATTGAACTTTTTAGTCCCACCCAGTCTGCTGTTACCACTGCAGCCACGCCCACCCAATGGGCCACACCCACCTGGCACCCGATGATGCATAAGTGGGTTTTGGGTTGTAGTTTGGGCACTCGGTCTCTAAAAGGTTCGCCATCACTGGTATAGGGTCTCCTGCTTGAGCAAGGGGTTGGACCACTAGAAGATCTCCAAGGTCCCTTCCAACTCTCTTATCCTGATAACTAAGGGAGTTATATAAAACTCTCCCAACCCATTATGGCTTCGGGGAGGGAAAAGTTCAAATCCAGCTGGATGCCGGAGTCCACGTAATTTTCTTAACAAGAGTACAGGACAGGAGAGGTTTGATATTGCTTTCTTCCTCCTGTTTTTTTTTTCTTCTGGTTTTCCATTCTAATTGACAGTGTCAGCGCTGCTAACATCCGATGTTTTTGCATTGACAACAAAGGAAAATGTAGCCATCTTTTTCCTTTCGCTTTCAGAGTTAGATGATGCTGGGAGGGGGGATGTGGATGAGAGTCTAGCTAGACATAACAACACTAAACTCAGTGGGAGAATCAAGGTTGTTGTAACCAGAGCTGATAATGAATTGGCCGGGCTGGAGAACTGGAGAGGAAGCCCAGTGCTTCAAGCTAATTGGGGAATGTGATTTATGACTGTCAATTGGAGGAGGGAATTGTGCTTTGATACTAGGTGCCCAGGGGAGGGGAATTCAGTTTTTGGCTTCGATTATGTAGTGCCGGTATTATGCTACTCGAATAAAAGATCCTTTAAGGTAAATAATGCCTCGAAGTTCTTGTGAAGAATTTCATCTGTCGGACCCCTGACAGACAGCTTTGTGCTTTCCTGATGGTCTCCTATCCAAGCACCAAGAAGATTGATCCTACTTAGCTTTCGGTGGGGAGAACTCAACTAAGGTCTGCCCCTGCTGCAGCTAAAGTGGATGTATTCACCCAACATTTTGTGAAGAAAGTAAGGAAGTCATATTATGGCAGGGGTATCCAACCTTGGCAGCTGTAAGACTTATGGACTTCAACTCCCAAAATTCCCAGCCAGTCATATCACCCACTAACGATTAATAGAGGAGTGTCCAATCTTGGCAATTTTAAGACCTAAAATTACCAAGGTTAGACCCTCATATTAATGATTAGTGGGTGATATCAATCTGAATGGAGCCGGAAGGGACCTTGGAGGTCTTCTAATTGAACCCCCTATCCCATTCCAGACAACTGTTGTCCAGATTGCGGGCTCAAACTTTTCCATCTGTAATAAAAGGTTAGAATATTTAGGGCTCTAGCTTGGATAGAAGGAGGAAAATGATTGAAGTGTATAAAATTATGCCAAGGATTGGGAAAAGGTTTAACCAAGACTCATTTGTACAATTTATCTGTGGAATTTATTATTGTGAATTATGATGATAGCTACTCACAGAATATGGCTTGAAAAGGGGATTGGATACATCTTTGGACGAGGGGGACAGTCTATCATCATATTTGTCTTCAAGGTTCAGTATTACCTCTGGGCTGAGCGTGTGTCTCTATGCCAGTTGCAGAGCAGCCAAAGGGAAATAGGGAAGTGTCTCCATTTGCTGCTTGCCTGGAGGCATCAGGTTATCTAACTCAAGGCTTTTCAACCAGTGGTACGGGTACCACCTGTGGTACATTGCCACCTGGCAGGTGGTACGCGACCATCCTAGAAAAGTGGTAGCGGGGGAGGGAATGAGCTGAACCGGTGGCAGCACCGCACAAGCCTGAGCGAGAGACGGCTGGAGCTGCAGGGCTGTCAGGGCTCAGCGGAAGCGCCAGGATCAGCGCCAGGCTCCAGCTGGAAAGCAGCACTGATCCTGGTGCTTCTGCTGAGCCCTGAAGAAGCGCCAATAAGCCGGAATGTTGCAGCATCTCCAGGGTCTTGTGATTTACATCCAGATGCTTGGCAACTGATTCATATTTATGACGGTCATAGTGTCCCAGGGTCATGTGAAGTGACCAAAACCTGCTGCAACCACCCAGCAGACGGGGGGGGGGGATAAAGACCAAACACCCCCCCCACCCCACCCCCGCTGCCAATCCCCAACAGAAATGCTCACAACAATGAAAACCTCGGACAGGAGGAAGAGCGCGGCCGGGTGGGCAGGCAGGGGTCTTGCTCGGCTGTGGCTTGGGGGGCACTTTTTTCAGTGCCATTGTAACTTCGAACTAAGCAAACTGTTGTAAGTCGAGGACTACCTGTACTTCATCACTTTTTTCCTTGTTTTTTTTTTTTGTCATCAAATTTTTGACACCTTGCTAGGCAACTGGTGGTACTCGGATGTTGCCATATCCTAAAAGTGGTACAATGGGTGGAAAGGTTGAAAAGCCCTGGACTAGCTTGAGGAAGAACAAGCTGGACTAAGATGTGTGTTGGCCTGATGCAGCCGAATTCTTCTTATCAATGTTTGGTGCTATACCTAATGTATGCTTGTTTGCCTCCCTGGGCAGAAGTGAGAGCTGCTTCTAGGAAGCAAATAAACAGAAATAGTCTGAGCCATGTTGGGTTAGGCCAGAAGTCCATCTTAGTCCAGCATTCTGTTCCGCAAGTCAACAACAGCTGTGCATGTCCCTCAGCTGATTGTGGAGGCAGAAAAAGTCATGCAGGTTTTTTCTCTAGGACCTTATAGAGGCCATCCTTTAGTGCCACTGCCTTCTTTCTGTCCATATGACGTGAGATAAAATTTCCCACTTTGGGCTTTATTCTGGATTTTTTAAAAAAGCACTTAAAAATGCCTCTGTATGAAACAGAGAGGTATACAATGCTTATGTTTGCTTCTAAGTACAGGCAATTGTCAACTTACAACCATTCATTTAGTGACTGTTCGAAGTCACAACAACACTGAAAAAAGTGACCTACGACCATTTTTCACACTTAACCACCGTTGCAGCATCCCTGTGGTTACGTGATCAAAATTCAGACGCTGGGCAACTGGCATGTATTTGCGACGGTTGCTGTGTCCTGGGGGGTCACGTGATCCCCTTTTGCAACCTTCTTTCCAAGCCAGAGTCAATGGAAGCCAGATTCGCATAACAAGTGTGTTGCTAACTTAACTGCAGTGATTCACTTAACAACTACTATGGCAAGAAAGGTCGCAAAATGGGGCAAAAAAAGCCTCTCCTGCTTCACAGCGTAAAATTTTGGGCTCAATGGTGGTCGTAAGTTGAGGACTACCTGTAATTCATTCAGGCTGCAGAAATGTCAAGGCGGCAAGTTCAAATAAACTGGCTTTCCTGCGATAAGTTAATCAATGACCGATGGAGGTTTGTGCTCCCAATTTTGTGTCCGTTTTCTGCTTCTCTTTTAATTAACGGTGCCAATAAATTTGTATAGCCATCTGTACAGTTTTCGGTGAGTTTTTGTTAGCCTAGAAAGGAAATTGCTTAAGAGCCAGATTTTTCCACGTGAAATATGATCTGCCTAGAGTGGCACACAGGGAATTACATGCCCGGCGTTTCAAATGCTCAGGAAGCTTTAGGTATTATATAACTTTAATATTCCCAATTATCATTTTAAGCCCGCTCATACTTGCAGGAGAAATGGGAGGAGCTTGCTTGCTCATTTGTTGGTGTCGGAAGCATCACAATTAAGGCATATTATACGACATAACATTTAAAATACAAAATACCAAGATTAAAACAGGTACAAGTTAAACAGATCTTGCCCAGTAAACTAGCAACGTTATTCTGTCACACTGCCATGAGGTCCTCCAGCGTGCACTCATCAGGACACACAGAGTCTTTGCCTGAAATTATTTGGTATAAGGTTTCCCAACCTTGGCAACTTTAACATGTGTGGACTTCTACTCCCAGAATTCCCCAGCCAGCTCTGGCTGGGGAATTCTGGGAGTTGAAGTCCACACGTTTCAAAATTACCAAGGTTGGGAAACCCTGATTTGGTAAGCTTGTAACAGAAAAATAGGGGCAGTTTTAGATATATGATCCAGTCCGCTATTGTTTCCATTAATACAGGTAGTCCTCGGCTTACAACAGTTCACTTAGTGACCGTTCGAAGTTACAGTGTCATTGAAAAAAGGGGCTTACGACCATTTTTCGCATTTGCAACCCTTGGCGCATCCCCATTATCACGTGATCAAAATTCAGACGCTTGGCAACTGACTCCTATTTATGACAGTTGCGGTGCCCTCGGCTCACATGATCCCCTTTTGTGACCTCCTTAAAAACCAAAGTCAATGGGAGAGCCAGATCACCGTGTTACGAACCTACCAACTGCAGTAACTCATTTAACTGCTGTGGCAAGAAAGGTCGTAAAGTGGGACAAAGCTCACTTAAAAAATGGTCTCGGCAACAGAAATGTTAGGCTCAATTGAGGTCGTGAGTCGAGGACTACCTTTATGTAGGTCCATCACCGGTAGACTCATATCCCAATGTTTTGATTCCTTGCCCTAATAAAGACCCAAAATATAGCTTGGGTGACATCTGAGCAATTGGCATTGAGCCTGAATGTGACAAGCCGCAAGGGGGCTGTGTTGCTTGGTGTCCTCATTAAAACAGCATCAAAAGTGGATGCAGCATTTCAAGTGTGGTCTTACTAAGGTTTTATACAGTGGTACTAATACTTCACGTGATTTTGATTCTGTGCCTCTGTTTATGCAACCAAGGATTGTATTCGCTTTTTTTGGCTGCTGCCACACACGGCTGGCTCATATTTCAGTGATCTAGGGCTCCAACGTCCCTCTCACAGTTGCTGTTTTTGAGCCAGGTTTTGCCCAATCTGTACTTGTACCTTTGGTTTTTCTTGCCTAAGTATAAAACCTTGCTTTTCTTCACATTAAATTTCATAATAATAATAATAATAATAATAATAATAATAATAATAATAATAATAATAATAATAATAATAATAATAGTAATAGTAACAGTAACAGTAACAGTAATAATAATAATAGTTGGAAGGGACCTTGGAGGTCATCTAATCCAACCCCTCTGCTCAGGCAGGAAACCCTATACCATTTCGGACAAAAGGCTGTCCAGTCTCTTCTTAAAAACTTCCAGTGTTGGAGCATTCACCACTTCTGGAGGTTAATTGTTCTAACTGTCAGGAAGTTTCTCCTTAGTTCTAGGTTGCTTCTCTCTTTGGTTAGTTTCCACCCGTTGCTTCTTGTCCTGCCTTCAGGCGCTTTGGAGAAGAGCTTGACTCCCTCTTCTTTGGGGCAGCCCCTGAGATATTGGAAGGCTGCTATCATGTCCCCCCTCGTCCTTCTCTTCGTTAAACTAGACATACCCAATTCCAGCAACTGTTCTTTATATGTTTTAGCCTCCAGACCTCTAATCATCTTTGTTGCTCTTCTCTGTACTCTTTCTAGAGTCTCAACATCTTTTTTACATCGTGGTGACCAAAACTGGATGCCGTATTCCAAGTGTGGCCTTACCAAGGCCTTGTAAAGTGGTATTAATACTTCACGTGATCTTGATTCTCTCCCTCTGTTAATGCAGCCTAACACTGTGTTGGCTTTTTTGGCAGCTGCAGCACACGGCTGGCTCCTATTTAAGTGATTGTCCACTAGGACTTTTGTTGTATAGGGCCCGTTGTTCAAGTCTGTCAAGATCATTTTGGATCCTGAGCTTGTCTTCTTGACAACACTATCTTATTATAAATTAAAAATTCCCACAATACTGTCTTATGCCCTAGGACAGGGGTGTCAAACTCGCAACATCACGTGACGTGTCGTGATGTATCGTGACTTTTTTTCCATTGCCGGCAATGGGCTGGGCGCGGTTTCGTTATGATGCATCCGGCCCGTGGGCCGGCAGTTTGACACCCCTGCCCTAGGATGTCAAATCACGTAGGGCTGCATTACTATTATCCTTCTCATCTTTCCTATCACCTTTAGCATCTTATGACTATCACTTTGCTGTTTGTATCATATGATTTATGTTGATTGCTTTTATTTAGTATCCTATGACTATCCCTGAGTGTTGTATCTTATGATTTATGATGATTGTATTTTATGATTATAATCATGATTTATCACTTGTTGCTTGTATGTACACTGAGAGCTTATGCACGGGAGACAAATTCCTTGGGTGTCCAATAAAGAGTTTCTATTCTATCCTATCCTATCCTATCCTATCCTATCCTATTCTATTCTATTCTATTCTATTCTATTCTGTTCTATTTTTCTGTTCTATTTTCTGTTCTATTCTGTATTCTATTCTATTCGATTCTGTTCTATATTGTATTCTTTATTCTATTTTCTGTATTCTATTTTCTATATTCTATTCTGCTCTATTCTAGTCTATTCTAGCCTAGTCTATTCCATTCCATTCTTAATGGCCGTCACGGATGGAACACTGATTATTATAACTTTTCCTGTGTGGTATTTTCTGCCAAATTCAATACTGCTCTGCTTTTCCAAGCTGACTTTGTCTCTTTCTAACAGGCTATTGAGGAAGAAGGAGGACACCCTGATGAGATTCCAGTGGAGTCAGAAATAATCCCCAAGAAAGTGCCAAAGAGAAGCAGCAAAGGTACACAAGAAAATAGATAAAGGTGAAGGGTTAAATTGCTTAATGGACATCACATTCCTGCTCTGCAAATGCTGAGATATTTGTTTTAAGACCTGGGTAGTCGAATGGCCTCTTAACATTGGCTGTGTTCAGGGAAATAACAGAAAGATTGAAAACTGCTTCTCTAGTTCAGTGTTTCTCAGCCTTTTTTATTCCGATAGTTTTTATTGATTTGTCAAAATATAAAATACAAAGAGAAATTAAAAAAAAAAATAAGAAAACTAGAAAAAAGGGGGAGGGAAAAGAAAAAAGATAGTGTGAGAAAAGAAGAGAAAAGAAAAAGGCACCAACTTCTGACTCTCTTTAGCACAGTAGAAGATAACAACATTACAATCACAACTTTTTGCTTTTACACAACGACCCTCCGGACCTTCTAGAAGAGCCTAAAGAGTTGGCTGTGCCACTTGGCCTGGGGCTTCAAAGGAGGAGCTTCATGTGAGAGGTGGCTTCTAGATTAATGTCAGATCCCACCTTCCCCCCCCTGCTCATCCCCTCCCCCTCGCTCCCTCTCCATCTTTTAGCTATCGTATTTTATACTTGGTATTTTATAATTTTGTGGCATTCTATTTATGTAGGGTTTTTTTTTCCCCTATTGTAAGCAGCCCATGGTTATCCTGTGATAAGATGGGCGGCCAATACATTTGATAGATAAATAGACAGACAGACAGATGTAGAGATACCGGTGGATGGATGGATGGATGGATAGATGATGGATCGGTTGGTAGGTGGATGGATGGATGGATGGATAGATGATGGATCGGTTGGTAGGTGGATGGATGGATGGATGGATGGATGGATAGATAGATAGATAGATAGATAGATAGATAGATAGATGGATAGATGGATAGATGGATGGATGGATGATAGGTAGATAGATGGGTAGATAGGTAGATGGATGGATGGATAGATAGGTAGGTAGGTAGATAGATAGGGAGGAAGAGAGACACAGAGACAGAGACAGAAATAGCACTTAGACTTACATACCGCTAATAGATAATAGATATGGAGGGAGGGAGGGGTGGGTGGGTGGGTGGGTAGGTGGGTGGGTAGGTAGGTAGGTAGGTAGGTAGGTAGGTAGGTAGATAGATAGATAGATAGATAGATAGATAGATAGATAGATAGATGATGGATAGATAGATAGAGAGAGAGAGAGACAGAGACAGAAATAGCACTTAGACTTAGATACCGCTAATAGATAATAGATATGGATGGATGGATGGATGGATGGATGGATGGATAGATAGATAGATGATAGATAGATGATAGATAGAGAGAGAGGAAGAGAGAGAGAGAGAGACAGAGACAGAAATAGCACTTAGACTTAGATACCGCTAATAGATAATATATATAGATGGATGGATGGATGGAGAGAGAGAGAGAGAGAGAGAGGGAGGAAGAGAGACTGAGACAGAAATAGCACTTAGACTTATATACTGCTAATAGATATAGATAGATGGATGGATAGATGGATGGATGGATGGATGGATGATAGGTAAGTAGGTAGTTAGATGGTAGGTAGGTAGGTAGGTAGAAATAAATAAATAAATAAATAGACAGACAGACAGACAGACAGATAGATAGATAGATAGATAGCCCTTAGAGTTATATACCACTCCATAGTGCTTTACAGAGTCAGCATATTGTCCCCAACAATCTGGGTCCTCATTTTACCGACCTCAGAAGAGTAGAAGGCTGAGTCAAACTTAAGTGGCCAGAATTTGCCTGCAATACTACTTTCTAAACACTGCACCGCCACGGCTCATAGATAGGTAGAAAGAAAGGAAGGGAAAAAGAAAGAAAAATGCACACATGTGTGTATTCTGTTCCTTTTAGGGCGGAGGCCTGAGGAAGAGGGAGTAGAGGACAATGGCCTTGAAGAGGAATCCGGAGATGGGCAGGTATGGCGAACGAACGACGGCCACCCAATGCCCCGTAAGACTTCTGTGTCGGAATTAATATCTCTGCTCGGAACCCCAGCAACTATTATATGTGGCTTTTTTTTTCTTTTTGCAGGAGGATATTGATGCAAGTTTGGATAACTTGCAGGATATTGACATGATGGATATTAGTGTGTTAGATGAAGCG